TCAACTTTAAATCGAAGACCTCCGCAAACCATAGGTGTATATCGGTCGGCAACACCGACTGACACTTTTTTATTTGTTGTAAAACATATCGTCCGTCTATATCAAGTACTTGTGTGTCTTTTTGTCCTTATTCTCCTAAAACGATAAACTATACTAAATACCACAAGTATATTTTAATGGACCTAAACGTAAACGTTTTAAGTTTTTTTATAACCGCCACCATAGTTTGAAGGTTATATTAATTTGGAACTTCCGTTTGTAATTCTTCGAATTTATCTTTATATTTTTGATCATGCTAAATATTCAAAAAATGCAAAGATACAGGTTTTTTTTTTGCGTTTCCAGGCATGTCGAGTTCGAAGATGGGATATATCGTCCCCCATGACGATACGCATAATTTTTCGACATTTTAAGTTTTCTGGACACATTTTTCAAAAGATTTTTATACCCTACACAACTATGTTGTCATTATAGCTTTGTGCAGCCACAAAAGTTTGTAACGCCGCAAAATATTGGTCCTAGACCCACCTTTAAGTATACCGATCGTCATATCTCGTCTAGCCGAGTCGGTCTAGACATGTGTGTCCGTTCGTCTGTCCATTATAATTTGTAAACACGATATAGGCCACAGTTATGGACCAATCTTCACGAAATTTTGCATGTAGGATGGGTTTTGGTAAAGATCGGTTAATATTTAGGTGATGAAATGGACCAAAAACTTTATTTTTTTTCTAATTTTCTGGTCGGTCCAGAGGCCGCAATTATGGACCAAACATCGCGTATTTTTGCATGGAGAAGGGGATCGGGCCAAAGAATAAGCATGACTGTTTTGATAAAGATCGGTCAACATTTAGCGGGTCAAATGGACCCATGCTTTTGTGTAAAAATGACAAAATTTGTATTCTATGGCTTATATATTTACTCCTGAAGGACATAGACCCGAGAAATTCATAACATATCCAAGAGGAGTTGTTGGCCTTTAAATTGATACCAACTATATTGTCGTATTTGCAGCTGTATTCATCACAACACTGTAGGGTGGAAATATATCGCTGATCCCTTTTAAAATTTCCATGAGGTTCCGGTTATGGTCAAGGACAACGCCTATAATTTGCGTTGATGGTCATATAATAATTTTGGGATGGAACTGTGTTTTTTCATTATAAGCAGAATATTACACTGGAGAATTGCTTTTGATGGGCTTTTGTAATTTTTTTTATTTTTTGTGTAAAATGAAAAAATGTTTTCAAATTCCAAATAGATTTCATGGCAAGAAATAGGAGCTATTGAACTCTAATCGGTTAAGAGGGTGCAAATATCGCGAAATATTGCCCATTCTTGGAATAAAGATCTGCAGAAAGTTAGAGTTCCCTGGTAGTTGTGTGGGGTATCCTATGGTCGGCCCCGTCCGACTATACTGCTCCGCTCACTGTTTTTTTTTTTTTTTTTGTATTTTAGGTTTTCAAATTTCACTACCAAAATGAATACTATTTATTGAGGTAGTCCCCATTGAAAATGGACTATGTCGGTCAACGTTAAGGCATGACCCATATATTGATAACGAACCCCCCTGGTTCCATCCAATCAAAACCATTTAATATACGTCCAAGTTTTATGGATTTGAGATATTCCAAAAAGAAATTTGTATTTCTTTTGCGTTGTGGTTATAGGCCACCCTATAATTATCCCGCGATGTAAAGATCAATCGGTTCACCCGAACTTAACTTTCGGTGATGACATGAGCTTTCAACAGAAGTGACTTTATTTGTCATATGAAATGTCAATTAATAAATATTCTCAACATTTCTAGCTATTTTGTAATATCGCATATGGGGTTTTCAAAGGATAAAAAACATGGCGATAGAAACATTTTAATCTAGGTCCACATTTTGATATATAATGGTCCCAAACGATTTAAAGTTTTCAAACGTCATTTTTCTCCCGAAATTACTGTATTATGAAATTTAAGGATATAAAGGATAGCAGATCTCCTTGAGCAATTCAGACTTTGCTACATATAGTCGATTCTGTGCATTGTTTGATTTTGAGCTATGAAATCGTCCACTATAAATCATCCATCGAAACCAAACAGAAAAGAAATTAAAATAAAAATTCAAATATAAAAGTTTGCAAAAATTTGTTTTTAAATTGTATTTTTTATTGGATTTTTTTTCAAAATATTTTTTCTTGTTCTTTTTTTTTGTAAATAAAATTACAACGTAAAACAATAATAATAATAATGATGTGGATTGGTTTTATGTTTTATTTAAAATTAAACTTATAAGTAGTGACAAAAAAAATTAAAGAGATTATTGTTAAAATTGATTTCCTAAAAATTCTTTTTTTCGGATAAAAATCAAATGCTTTTCCAAAGTAAATACAAATATTGCAGAATTCAATTTTGGCAAATTTCCAAAAAATAAAAATAAAATAAAAAATAATAGTTAAATAAAAAAAACAATGACTAAAAACATGACAAAGGCAAATAATGTGACATTTGTCATCATTTATGGGTTAAATGCTTCACTTAAACTACAAATTTTGCTGAAAATATATGGGAAAGAAAGAAATATATATTGAAAATAAAAATATATAATTAAATTAAAAATTTAAAAAAAAATGATTAAATTATAACATATATGTATTAATTATAATATTGGTTATATAGTAATTATTACTAACATAAAATCATTGGCACAAGTTGCAGTCTAAACTTAAATAATATAAAATAATAAAACAAAAGTTAACGAAAAACAAATGAAACAAAAAAGATATATATGATAAACTATATACAAAAAAATTAAAATTAAAATAATATATTTTAGTAAAAAAATATATATGGGTTAATGGCCACAACAATGTTTTGCCAAGCAAATTTTGAAAAAAAATAATTTCAATATCTTAGAAAAAATATTATATTTTAATCAACCTTTCTTTCAAAGCTTTAGAATTTTTAATACAATTTACCAACATTGTTGTGACCTACTTAAAAACTTTTTGTTTAAAAAAAAATATCATTGCACTCAAAAAAAATCAATATTATAAAATATATTTTACACTAAAAACGTTATAACAAAATGTCGTTGTTCCTTTTGTTTTGTATTCATAAGGCAAAATTCAAATTCATTCTCTTTGTGTCTCGGGCTCTCAACATATGCAAGTTTTTTTTTTAGAAAATAACAAAAATAAGTGCACTTTTTTCTAATCCAAACAAATCCAACTATAAAAGTTGTGCTTTCAAAATCATTCATCCAATCAATACAAGGCAATGGCAATAACAATAATAATGCCAATTATAATCAAAAATAGTGTAAAGAGATCATCCGTGTTAATTAGACCCAATGTACAAGCAACAACAATGTGCTCCAACAGTGTCAAACCGTTTACCGCATTGGCACGTTGTTCGCCCAAAATATTCATTTGAGATTCACCTCTTACTTTGCCGCTCGATGAAGGTAAAAGCTCATAATCCAGCGGTTGTTGTCTAGGCTGAGTGGGTTTTTGCTTCTTTTCATTCTTCTTCATGTTTTCATCTTGTTCATCTTCTACTTTTGACTGCAAACTTTGCTGAGCTTTTTCGTAACAATTATGGGCCAAATCTTGTAAGCTAGGAACTTCAAAACCCCCTTTGGGCCTCTCAACATATTGATTGTCTAAGCTGTTATCATCCTGTAATGCTTTTTCCAAATCACAACAATTTGTTACCATCTCTTCAAAGCTTTCTACAGTCTCCAAACTTTTCATATCATCATCTTTAATATTAATTTCGTAGTTAATTTTCTCTTCCATGATGTTCATTTGCAAGAGAGGTGTTTCCATAATAATGCTGCGTTTTCTTTTTGGAGACTTAGTTAAGCTGATGACTTCCAAGTTTTCTTGAACGGTTTCTTTCAAACTTGTGCACACTTCCAACATGGTGGATTCTTCTTCGACAATAGATTCAGTACTTTCACATATTGTTTCATTCAAGGTTTCCTGATCTTCCAAATCTAAATCTTCCCTATTTTCCCCTAACTGATAATCTAAAATACTGCTATCTTTTTGAGTGCCCTCAGAGCTTTTCATTTGATTTTTGGCCTGTAAAGCCTTGACTTCAGCCATTATTTCAGCACTTGCCAATTGTATGCGTTCCTCAAATAAATACATTGCTGCTCTGGGATCACCAAGTTTTTCCCCACTCAAATATTCAAAATCATCTCTTTCCGAACTAGAGCTTTCATATTCCAACTGAGACTCTCTTAAGCTTTCCAGCAATTCTTCTTCGGTTGGCAGGCGTGGAAATTCCTCTTCTGAATCGCTTATTTCTCTTTCACTTACCACATCTTCCCTGTCACTTAATTCCTGTTCTTCTTCCTCTGATTCCCTATCTTCTTCATCCTCCTCCTCGTCTTCCTCTTCCCCCTCAGTTTTTATGGCAATTTCTGTTCTAAAACAATTTCTAATCTCAAACCTGCTATTGAATGAAGAACTTAACTGCAAACTATTAGAACTGACCGCGGTATTACCGCTCAATGGGAAATCTGCCAAACTAACATTTCCTGAATCCGGATTGGAGGAGGTCTCTTCCAATGAACTCAACGAATCGAATTGTGTCAATTGCCCTGTCTCCGCTTGATTCTGATCTACCAAAATATTCACCCGACTGGCGTAGATCCTATTAAAGTTCGGCGACAACTTATAATGCTCCTCATTTTCTTGTGCACGACCTACATCTACATTTTGTTCGGGTATGGTTTCTAATCTAGACGATGACATACTCGAGGAGGATAGCGCCGATGATGTCGCGGGCTGAGGACTATTTGCATTGGTATTAGTTATGGATGATGGTGAAGAACTTGATGATGAGTTATTTAGGGTTAACAAACAACATTCATTCGGATTAGTTTTGGAGCTAGAGCAGCATTCATTAGCGATACATACAACATGGTCATGGGGGGATGCAGCAGTTAGAGCAGTTATTCTGGCTTGTTCGGAATTCTGGGTGGTGGACTCGTTGTTACCTGAGTGTTTCTGTAGTTTCGAAGTGCGCGGCATACGATTGGCGGCGGCCTTGTCTTCAATGCCAAATATCATGGCCAATTCTTCGGAGGAGTTGTACTGCGAGGGCGACGATGAACGGGCCCTCTGCGACGACGAACAGGCCAATGTGGCACTGCAGTTACTGACCGGTGTCAAATTGAGCGGTGGTGGTGAGGGCGAACAGCTGAAATTGCTGGCGGCACTGGTTGTCGTGGTTATATTCGGTGTAGCACTCGTTGTCGATTGTACATCGTAGGATGTGGTGCTGCAAGATTTTATACGATCGGTGCTGGGTGCATGATAATCACTACTGGGTGACTTGATATAATCACTGGACGAATAAGGATTGAATGAGGTAATGCTTGACGAGAAACGGCGACTGGCCGTTGGACTAGAGGATTTGGCCAAACAGTCACTGGAAGATGAAATGGAGGAGGCAGTGGCACTGCAACCTGTCGCCACCACCTTGGCTGTGGGGGCAGTGGTACTGTTGCGTTTCACCATCTCTTGCTGGCGTGCCTGATCTTCACATTCTCTCATGATTTGATCAATGTCCTCAATCGTCGCCTCTTGCGGCTTGCTGGCCACAAAAGCTTTTTGAGAAGTCTCTGTAAGAGTAGAAGTGGACAAATCATTGGGACTCTGAACTTTACTAGTGCTATCATCCAAATTACAGGTTGAGGCCACTGTGATTTCTGGCTGATTGAGATTGTCATAGTCGTGATTGTCGGCCGCCAGATCGCTCAGTTGGCGCATACAACGCCTGGCTATTGCCTCGATTTTATCCGACTGTATGGGATCCAATTTTTTGATTAGCGTTGGTATTACCAATGAAGAGGTAGTGTCTTGTTTGCTTTCCACAGTGCGTGGAGACTGTTGTGGCTGCTGCTTCACCTTTATGGCTTCGTGCACCACAACAGGTGGTTCGGTGGTAACAATGTCTTTCAGTATTTTCTCACACACCTTATTGGCGGCCTCCGATACCTGATCGATTGCCTGGATAAGTTTATCTTCTTTGTGCAGTTTTCTCGGTGCCACGTTGCTATCGTTGGGCACCACTTCTCCGCCATCAGGCAAGGTGTCCAGTAGCATTTTACTACATTTCTTTGCCGCTTGGGATACCTTTTCAATCTCCTTGAGATCCTGTTCGATTTTATCTTCGTGTGAATTTTGTCGCTTCGGTTTCGATTGGGTTATCAAGGCCTCCTTGCGTAACTCTTGCAGCTCCTGGCTCAACTTAATGCTACTCTCTTGAGCATCCTGAGCAATTTTATTGAGAGCTTCTTCCATTTTAGTTGTTTCACCTCCATGTTGGGGTTCAGGTGTGAGAGATTTTCGTGGCATTGGTGTGGGTTTGTGATGGACAACAACAAGAGGTTTCTTTTCCTCCGATGGTGCAGTGCTCAGTTTCTGTGGCAATTGGCAAATGGCTCCACCCTGGCTGGGATGGCGGAAAGGTATGTGGGCCTTCTTGGTATTTTGTTGTTCCTTCTCCTGTTCCTTTAGATTTTGCAATAGCTTCAGAGTAGATGGTATATCATCCGTCTCCTGGGTTTTCTTGTGTAAATCGGACATACTACCCGAACGATCAATGCTCTTTGTCAACTCCATGTAGGAATACAAATCACCACCCGAAGGCTTGGCAGCGTCTCTTTGTATGAGAGCATAAATGTTGGCCGATTGGGTACGAGTTGCACGATTTTTCTTTGGCAGCACACTGTTGGGATACTGGAATCTCTCCTTTGGTTGTACGGGATCTTTGCGCAAAGCTCTCACAGCCAAATCATCTTTTATTACATCCGGAGCCTTGGTATCTTTCTTTAAATACTCCTTCTGTTGATTAGGTTTCACGTGCAAATAATCTGTCTGAGGAGCTGGTACAATTGGTCCAATGGGTATGCCAAAGGGTGGCTGCTTTTCCACGGTCTTATGTTGCAGATTGGCCAGCTTAATATTGCGATATGCCACATCATCTCGTATGGGATCGGGTTCTCCAGTGGGAGAATCGTCGTCATCATCGTATTCATCGGCATGGGCCAGGGCATATTTCTCGAAATCATTGGGTGTGGGTACACGATCTTTTTTCGTCGCCGTTGTCGCTGCCACGGTAGTCGTTGTCGTTTCTGTGGCCTCTGGTTCTGTCAAGCCCAATGAACGATAAATGGCCTCCAATTCATTTATGGCCTCCTCCAAATTGGCCGGCTTCTTTCGTGGAAAACTCAACTGTGGTATATTGGGCAGACCAACCAATTTCCGTTGCGGTGGCTGTGGAGCATTTTGATGCTGTTCCTTACGTTCATTGACGTATTCCTCATATTTATTCGGAGCGACACTCATTTCTCCCGAACGCCTGTGATAATGATCCGGCATCGAGTGGGACTTGGGCATATCCTTGTTGCGTATCTCAACGTAGTTGCTGCTACTATCCTGGGCAGGTTTAATGCGCAGACTAGCGCAGACAACACCATCCACTTCATCTTGATCATGAGTTGGTTGTGGATGAGGAGATGCGGCTCTGGGTTGAGGAGGTGTCTTTGTCTTATTCGGTTTATATACCTCCGAATACATTGGCATGGGATACGCTCTCATCTCTGAAACTCTAGAGGATGAAACAGATCTGGGTTTCATTTGCATGCCACTATCTATGGCAGATCGTTGCATATCCCGACCTCTTGGAGCTGGAGTGGGTGTAACGGCATTCTGGGAAGTGCCGTCCAGGCGTTTCCAAAAATCGGTGGCATTTACTTTGGTCGGTGATGTGGGCAGACCACTCTTGGTGGTGCGCAATATACCCGAGGACGGTGGCTGCTGCTGTGGTTCTTCAACATCATCGCCATAACAAGATGACTTGTTGGTCGGTTCCAGCATATGTATGGGTTTGCGGGAACGTGGTGTGGCATCGGCAACATAGTGGAAATCAATACCATTTGGCAGAGACTTCTTGCCGGGATGGGCATCACGATCCGCACGGGTAATGAAACGACGATTTTGTGGTTGAACCCCAGAGCTGACAGGATTTGCTAAAATATTCAGTGAGCGTATGGATTGGTATTGGGGTTGATGTTGGGCCCAGATTTTATCATCTGAAACACAGCGACCACCAAGACCGGTGGCCGGAAGTACCGGTACTCCGGTTTGATCAAAAGCATATGAAATTGGTCTTAAGTCGCTGGAACTTCCGTCCTGCATGTGACCACTGCTAACGTTCACTCGGCGTAGAGGGTCTCGTGGTGGCGGTGGTGGTGGTAGGGGTTTGCTTTGCATTCTACCATTGACATTTTGCAAGTGGATGTGACTGTCATAGCTGATGCTACGCTTGGCTTCATTTACCGAATTTTGTAAATTTTTAGATGCCTGCTGTTGTTGCGAACGTTGCTGTTGTTGTAATTGTTGAGGATTCCATTGTACATATGGAGCCATATGTTCTAGGCTGCTGGTATTACGCAGCTTAGCGATTGAAGCATTATCTACCGAGGATCGAGACTGAGGTTCGGGATGCTGACGAGCGGTATTAGGAGCCTGATATATTGACAGAGGTACAGGTTGAGTTTTCCACCTCTGAGTGGGCTGTTGGGCAAACATAACCGGAACCTGGCCATGACTAACTTCACCATCGCGTGATAAACGTTTGTAGTAACGTTCATTGCGGGCAGCCCTACTCTTACGACTCATACCCGAACCATTGTGTCCCTGACCACCACTGTGAATGCTTTCATCGCTGCGATATTTTGAAAAGGTGGAGGAATTTAGGGATATCAGTTCCTCCTCACTCGAAGAGCCGGCTATTATTTGGGGACTGTGTCCCGCAGCCTTGGATGAAGAACGTTGTTTGGCCCGTGATGCCCGACGATCCAGAGAATGTGCCGATTTGCTCAGCAATTGTTGTTGCGTTTGTGGTGCATGTGACAGGTACTGTTGAGAATGATGCAGACGCTGTGTCTGATTTTGATAGAATGGTTCCTGGGAACCCATTGGTGACACAGTTTCAACGGGCAAAAAGAATTCATTGTCTATGTGTCCCAATGCCACAGGTGAGGTGACAGTCGATGATGAGTTACCCGATATGGGACTGACTACAACATGATCGAATCCACTAGTTCTACTGTTACGATTACCCGCTGATGTAGATGTTTTGGACTTGGATTTTTTATTAGGCGTTGAGGTGGCCGCCGAACTCGAGCGTGGATATTTATGAGTTGGAGAAAATCCTGCCTTACGATCATCTTCCGATGAGGATTCTGATTCGATTTCTTTTTTATTTCGACGAAAGAAACGACCGAAGGACCATTTTTTCGAAGTGCTGTTATTGTTGCTGGCATTCGATAGCTGGGAGCCATTCAGTGAGGGATCTTTTTTACTGCTCATGTGAAAACGATCCATGTCGCTTTCAATGATTTGTATTTCGTCAATATCGTCGACGTCGTATTGCTGCTGTTGTGGATAGAAATTATTTTGTTGTTGTGGTTTTTGTTGTTGATATGCTGTTTGGTGTTCTTGTGGCTGGTGGTGGTGATGTAGTTCGTTGATGTTTTCATTTGAAAGTTGTATTTCCTTTGGCAGAGGCAATTGTGGTCGCCAGGATGATTGGACAGTCTGTAAGAGAGAAGATGAAGGGGAGACAGAAAGGAAATAATTAGATATGATAATATCATTTTTTATTAAGTTCTTATAATGAAAAAGTATATTTAAAATTTCTTAATGAATTTCCCGAAAATAAAATAAAGTCCAGAGACTTGTAGGTAGTTTTATTTGAGTTATATATACCTATTTTTTGTTTTTTTTTTTCTCCACATAAATAATAAAATAATTAAAAACATATTAACACCTTGCTCTACCACAACCTTGCCTTATCATATTATATTGTATGTTTATCTCAGTGTTTATATTGTAATATATTAAAATTATATCTTGACGCATTATGACCGTCATGCTTACGCACTACTTATCAAGTGACCAGCTAGTTTCGTTTTGCTGGTGTGTATGTATATTTGTCATCACCTAATTAGTTTTGACTTAATTAATATTGAATGTCAAAACAAAACATAAACACAACTATGAGAAAAGTCCATTCACCGTGCAAGAACGAACATTTAATTATTTAAATCAAGAAGAGAGCTAGAGAGAGAGTATTGGGATTTTTTTTAATTTTCCCATGAATGTCGGCCATAGAATTTATTATCGCATAAATTCCTCGATTAGCGAGTTATCAACAATGGAATTAATTGAAAAAAAAAATGGCAAATGATGTCAGAGTCAAGGCCTTCAAACTATGTACCCAATATTATGACCGCCAGTTTTACGAGATAAAGTCATTTTTGGGAGTATTTTCCATTATCCTGAGCAGGTTCAATACGCAGACTAGCATACACACTGTCCCATCTATTTCATCTCGCTCCTGATTTGGTTGTGGATGGATCCTGACTGATGAGATGTCTTTGTAATATTCGGTGTATATATCTCCGAAAACATTGACATGGGTTAACTCTCATCTCCGAAACTATAGAGGAGGATACAGATTTGGCTTCCATTTGAATGCCATTATCTACGGCATTTTAACAATTTCGGAAATTATTAACTTCTTGTAATATTTATCTAATTCCACGAAATATATTCCTTATTAACGAAAATGATACGATACATCTTAAAAGGATTCGACCTCCGAATGCATTGGCATCTGAAACTTTAGATGATGAATCCGATCTGGGTTTCTTTTGAATGCCATTATCAACGGTATTGTAATAATTTCTGAAATTATAACATTTTGAAATATTTGGTTGGTAAAAAAGAAATCGATTAGTCCGGTCGTCGAAAATGTCCATAAAATCGGAGAAATGATTGAGGTTGTTAGCAGTCGTCATAAAGCTGAATTCAAAAAGAAGCTCGGTGTTTGGGTGCCACACCAATTAACAGAAAAAATAGGATGGTTCGAATTTCCATCTGCAAAGTCTTGATCTTTGACCTTTAAACGGAATGATATAGACCCATTTGTTGAACGGATGTTGACTGGAAATGAGTAATGGATTACATACGATAGCCCTGTGCGAAAACGATCGTGGTTAAAGAGCGGTGAAGCACCTCAAACGGTGGCCAAACCAGGACTAATGGCCAGGAAGGTTCTGCTATGCGTTTGGTGGGTCTGGAAGGGGATTATTTATTATGAGTTGATTCCATATGGCCAAACGCTAAATTCTAATCTCTACTGTCATCAACTGAACTGTTTGAAGAGAGTAATTGACTAGGAAGGATTGTGAAAATCGACTACTAGAATTTTTTGCAAATAGAGAGCAGGACTTCTATGAGAGTGACATTATGAAGTAACCTATAAATTGGCAACAAATCAGACAGAATGGATTTTTTTCCCCAACCAAATATTTAAAATTTAGAACTATGTTCGTAAAGTTTTTAAAATTTTCAGAGAAGGAGAGTTCTGAAACAGTAGCGGTAGATTTTTTAAACAATATTTAGCATTGCTATAATCTAAAATGTTAATATATATATTTTATGAATCTACTAGACCTAAAAGTGTATATTTGGTAAAGCTTAATTTTGATGGTCTGCAACAAAAATTGTTACTCTTTTGATAATATTGAATATTAATATTATTTAAAAAATATACAAAAAAATGCTCTCAAATGAAAATCATAGAATATTCAATAACAATTGTTGTTTGATCGCTCTCAGCATGCGTAATATTTATTAAAAAAATAAAAACACTTTCCACCTCTCCTCCTGGGACCCTCATTCAAAAGAAATACCATACAGATTTTCAAACAAAGTTTTTTTGTTTCTATTTTTTTTTTTCAAGTTCACTAACCACACTCTAACTAGCAAACATATATTCTAGTTTTGTGTTTTTTTATGTGTAAACAAATACTGATTTTCGTTAGTAGAATGAACAGAAAGATTTCTTCTGTATATGATTAACATGAGACGCGGCTGCTGCTGGGCCCAGGGTATTGAGATTTTGTTTATCAATGTGAATTACCGGAAAAAAATAAAAATTACGCAGCGACAGACACAAGACATATGGCGTAAAGAAAACCAAACATCTCTATGTATGAGGTTAGTTGGTTTTTTTTCGATTTCATTTTCATTCTTATCTCACATACGAGAAAAAAAGCTGTAGCTGTTATTGCCATTTGTTATCTGTCTTGGCTGCTATTTATGTTTGCAAATAGTAACAAAAATACTCTGTTGCCAATATTATTTCTTTTATCAATTATTACTATTGACAAAATTTCTACTTGGAGTGTGGTATTGTTGGTTAATATGGTTTTTTTATAAATTGTAATCAAAATATTTGTTAATAAGTCGATTTTATCGAAAATAAAGTTGAAATGCATAGAACAATGCAAATAAATCTATGTTTAATTGGCTTATTTTCAGAGTAGATTTTTTGTCAAAAAATCCAGAAAATTAAGTCTAATTTCTGTATATATTCGAAAATAATATCATATCGAAACTTTGGATACCCTCCACAACAGATATACTGATAGTTACGTGAAATGAAAATATAGGGAACACATCAAAATATGGACATATAACGACAATTCTACCAATCGATTTTTGTAAACCATAATGTACACCAAATACAAATTTCAGCAATTTTTAAAGATGATTTTTCATAAAATCTCAAAAGGTCAAAACGCATTTTTTGATGGATATTGTGTATAAAATCCACAAAATACTGCAATTAAAGCTCAAAGTTTATATCACAATATCTTCCTTTACCCAACTTTATAAATCCGGTAGGTATTTTTATATAGGGTCTAGGCCTGAATAAGGGTTATTCTCCAACCTGACGTCCTAGATTTGTATCTACATATTCTCCGAAAGTGGAATGATTACAACAGATGGCTAAATCGACTAAATCGTGGTAGAATTCCATACTTTGTGGGGTCTAAACTGACAATTTCGAGTAAAGAATATCCCCCATACTAGGGTAGAATGCGGGTATACGGATATAATCCAAAACGCGATAAAAATCAGTTAACTATTTATACCCTACACAACTATGTTGTCAAGGTATTATAGCTTTGTGCAGCCCCAAAAGATTGTAACGCCGCGAAATATTGGTCCTAGACCCACCTCTAAGTATACCGATCGTCGTATCTCCACTAGCTGAGACGATCTAGACATGTGTGAACGTCCGTCTGTCCATTATAATTTGTAAACACGATACAGACCACAGTTATGGACCAATCTTCACGAAATTTTGCATGTATGGTGGGTTTTGGCCAATGAAGACCCCTATCGTTTTTGGAAAAAAACCGGTTTATATTTAGGGGATAAAATGGACCAAAAACTTTATTTTTTTCTGATTTTCTGGTCGCTCTAGACGCCACAATAATGGTCCAAACATCGTGAATTTTTACATGGAGAAGGGGATCGGGCCAAAGAATAAACATGCCTTTTGTGATAAAGATCGGTCAATATTTAGCGGATCAAATGGACCCTGACTTTTGTGTGAAAAATGACAAAATTTGTATTCTATAACGTATATAATTACTCCTGAAGGACATAGACCCAAGAAATTGATAGTATATCAAAGATACCAGTTACATTGTCTTATGTACTCGGATGTGGGAGTTACACGTAAATATTTACGGGTGCTTACGTGTTCAGATATTATTTAGTACCCATTACCAAACTGGAGGGCGGAAATATAGCGCTGATCGCTTTGACAAATGTTGCCCAAGCTCAGAATATAGAACCACGAAAATTTGATTTTCCTGTATGTTGTGTAGGGTATCATATGGTCGGCCCCGTCCGACTATACTGCTCCGCTCACTGGTATAATATACAAAAGAGAGTTATACGAGGACTGCCCCTAAATCGTGGCGGATATAAATAATTTTTTAAAGGGTGATTTCAAGGTTTATTCGAAAGGTTAACAGGGAGGCGGATTCGTAGTCTTCATTCACTGTCAAATTTATTATTTGAAGAATAAATAAAGAAAAAATCTTTTATTCGAACCAAAATATATATATATATATATATATATATATGCACATTACTATCATTACGTTTTCCTGAAAGATATTTTGAATTTTTATCCTGCTCTGGTTGGTATTTCGCGATTAAAATATTGACAGCAAGAAAAGACTAAGACTTGAATAAACCTTGGGTGATTTGTTACCAAACACGACTACAAAATACGAAATTACAGGGAATTCGGTTGAAAAACATGCTCAAATTGGGGGTACCGTTATATTGGGGCTACCGGAAAAAGTGGACCTATATTTATAATTTTTCGTGGAAAGATTTGGTACTCAATAGGAACCCAATGTACCAAATTTCATGGAAAAAACGCGCTTAAGAACTCGAAAATACCGAAAATGTGGACTATGCCAAAACGTAAATCGATATAGCTCATCTTCGAACTTGGCCTGCCTACAGACAAACGACAACCCTATGCAAAATTTCAGCACCCTATCTCAATTCCTTCAGAAGATATGATGATTACAACAGACGGGCGGACTTGGCTAGATCGTCTTAGAATTTTACCCTGATCAAGAGGGTCGGAAATGAATATGAGTTACAAACGGAATGACAAAATTAATATACCCTCCATACTATTGTGGAGGGTATAC